AGTCGTGACTCGTATCCAACATGAAGGATCAATGCATAAAAATGCAGCCAGAAACATCATTAACTAAAATGAACGGAAGACAATAATCAGCAATATGCGTTCACGCAGATAACTTTATTTGAATGTTTCATTGATATGACGTGACACTGAGTTGTTAGAAAAGTAATGTATACTGACATCATTGCGTGATGACTAAAGGAACCGACGAAACGGTTCTTTGAAGCGGTTCATTCACCCAAACTCCACGAAAGAATCGGTTCGCGAAAATTAATCGGACTTTGCATCGCTAACATTACTAAATTGTAACATCGCAACAGGGAAGAACCATATACTTCACAAATAGTGCAGAGGTGTGAGTCTTTTTATATAGGGTATCTGAGCAGGCATATATTTAGAAGTCCAACGTTTTAGACCGCTGCCATGTATGAGTATTGTGGGGTATTGCCCCCGGCAGCCATTTTTGAAGTCTGAGGTTTATGCTGGGATTTGTAGTTCCCTGACCTAGAAGTCTGTAGCGTTTGAATGAGGTATTAGTTACATACCCAATTTGTTAACATATTTACACTAAACAATTATATTCAAGAATAATACGATATACCTATGATAAAACAGACTTGACATTTATATGTTGTAACGGATCAGCCGTTGTTGTGTTATTTCGTGAAATAGCATTAGGATTTGGTTGTGTGTTCTTGAAATCAAACAATTGTCTTTGTCTTAAGAAAAAGTCGAACAGTTCCATCTGGTATCTGAATATTCAGTCTGTCTTCATCATGAAATAATGAAACCATCATTACCCCATTCTGGAGAATGTGTGTTGTGTTAGACAGGGTGCTTCATGACCCAAAAGGGTATGTTTGTTGTGTTCTCTACCTCCGCATGTCTTCATCTCATTGACCGTAACTGGTATTTAGGATGACCAGGACTGTTAGGCATGGCGAGGCATGTTTATTTATATAGTACGTTTCATACACAATGCTAATTCAGAGTACTTTACATAAAAGGGGAGTAAAATAATAATAATAAAGTAAAGTCTCCATAAACGTGACCGGACATGTCCGGGGACCCCAATAGACCTTATCGTTTGACCTGTTAAAATATTTTTTTTTTCCCCGATCCTCGTTTTTATATTTTTAATGATGAATAAAACTAGTGTAAATGTTTTCCTTTGCTTTATATCATGTGCGATCACATAATTTATTTATTTTAAACAAGCCTCTTAAAAGAAAGCGTAACATTACGGCTGTAAAGATAGCCACATGAGACCGTCTGTAAACAAACGGACAAAGTTAGAATAGGAAAGATAGACAGTCGTGATCCTTATACCCAAAACACTGTGAAATAAAACAAATCTAGATAATATTTAAAACGTGTGAATAAATGTAATATTATCTACATAATTAAAACATTTCTAAACCCCGGTCCGCATGAGATTCGATTTGAAGCTGCAAAATTAGTCTTGCTCCATGCCATAGCATCACAGGTCACTGGACCGTCATCGCCCCGGAGATCCCCGAGATCCCCGAGATTTTAACAGACTTAGAGGGGGATAGAGATCTTAAACATCTCGTTTGCGAAGATACTGAAATAACGTGAAGACATAGTTTCTCTGTTCCCCTGGAAAAATGTTAGGTTTTTTTTCTTTATTCATTCTTTATTCAAGCTAAACATTTTTATTTCAATTTATCAGAATGACTGTGTCTGTGTGTGTGTGTTTGTGTGTGTGTGTGTGTGTGTGTGTGTGAGAGTGAGAGAGACAGAGAGAGAGAGAGAGGGGGGTTTTTAGAGGTTTTTGGTAAACATTTCATTCACAGAACGGTCATTCCTGCACCAAATGTAAGGGTAGTTTTATTTATATATTTATTGTTTTATCCCCAATTTCATTATTAGTCATGTTACATATTTAATTTAAATTATTTTATACAACCATCAGATTATATGTGTGGTCACACATATTATGATATGTTCTCATGATCTCTTAGAATTGTCTACTTATTCTTTTATTGACCTTAAATCCAATATCTTTCTCACATCTCGCATACAGTGAGAGAGAGAGCAAAAATGCCCTGCCTCGGAATGCAACCAGACACGCACACCCCAGATGGGCAAACCCCCCGGATGTGGGAACGGACCATTAAAATCTTCAAAACATTCCTTAGGTCTTCATTTATCGCCTGCCATCCGCTCGGACACGGACATACGTCTGTACAAACATCATATGTCATCCCCGGAGGTCATAGGTTGACGTCGGAATTTCACATATGCCGGTTTTCACATCTGGACAGGTCACCGGGGTCAACACAACTTGGGTGGTCGCAACGTGGGTGGTCACTACGTGGGGGAGGGGGAGAGGTCACAAAGGTCAAAGCCATCAATCATTTTTGACATTTGCCGAATCATATTTACTACTTATATATATATATAAACTGATTTCAAAAAATATTTTGCCTTCACATATGTTCCTGTGGCTCAGTGGTAGGGCATTGCATTAACAGTGCAAAAGGTTGTGGGTTCAATTCCCAGGGAACACACATACTGGTTAAAAAATGTATAGCCTGAATGCACTGTAAGTCGCTTTGGATAAAAGTGTTTGTTAAATGCATTAATTAAATTAATCACTGCTTTCATATTCTCATTCAATTTATAGTTTGATGTAGGCCTACTATCCACTTAAACAATACATGATGAAGTTTCAGGACATTTTATTTGACTTTTATGTACTATTTATGTAAATGCCTAACTTTGGTGTGTTTTAATGGGCGCGCCCATTGATCATTCAAATTGCATTTAAACTGGAGCGGAGGGGGTTACCATGGAAAGGGGGCGTCAACTCACTCAGCTGAGAGTCCGTCTCTCTGCTGTTTTCACTGCTCTAGGTAAGTTTAGTCCCTAAAATTACACAAATGATACATACAACCGTTCCTGACACTTTCTTACATGTAATTGACACGTTTCTGTTGAATCTTTACTTTACAGGAATGGTTTAGTGTCTTCAAAAAGACCGTTTGCATCACAACCGTTAACTAGCTATAGAGGCTAACTATTAGAGGTAAGCTAACTATAGATTTGAGCTCTTATTAATGAAAGTTTGAGCTTGTATAGCTCAAACCTCTCTCATCTACACATTTTATGGAAGTAACTATAAGCTAATTAATTTAACCTAAAGGTCTGCACTGTGGGGTCAATCGGTAACGACACACATGAACTAATGGGCTGAAACTATTTCAAACACGTTTTGAACTTTCATTGCAAACAAATATTGATAAATTGTACTGTGATTTCAGGAGGGTCAGAAAAACCCTAAAACGGGAAGTTACAAGAAAATTTGTAATGGGAGCTGCTGACAGAGATACAGGAAACACAGGTGATCTGAGAAATCTTATTAAATAACTTATTAAATAAAATTATAAATTAATTTTTTTACAATATATTTCAACTATATCATCATGCATCTGTAAAACCTAAAAATGTGAATTCTGGTATTTTAAGATTTTTTGTATGGTTTTTTTTTTTTTATGTTTTGTATATTATTATTTCTCTTTTCTGCATTTCACCTCTGCTGTAGTTTGTTTATTTCTAGTAAACCTGACATTGTATACTACATGTTGTTGGCTATGTGGCATATTGTTCCTATATTCTTCCATGCTCATGGCCGTGCTGCAGAGCTGGAGCAGATCTCCTGTTGAAGAACATCTCCAAGGCACTATGAACCATCTGACTAGTAAGTAAAACCTTCGAACATTCAAAAGTTTATCAAATATTCAAAAATATATATAAAATATTTCCTGTATGTCCTACAATGCCATCTTGTTTAACTCTGCACTGAGGACACTTCATACACAACAACCTACAGAGGGGTCCATCATAATTCGAAAAAAGACACAGATGATAATAAAAAAAGATCTTTGAAATTAAAATTAATAACGGCAAGACAGAACCAGAGTACTGTTAACGTACCTCACTTCAAATTGTAACGGTCTGTATGTATATTATTTTCTAAACTTTAGTGAAGTGTTTGTTCAAGTAGACTTTGTTGCTTGTGGAAACCTCACACGAGCCTAAAAGGTACTTAAAACTTAAAATCTTATTTGCACTCTTGAAGACTGTTCACCAAAGACTAAATTTCAGTCCGGCAGAATTTTCTGCACACTTCACCACTGAGGCCAAAATGAGCATTGTGAATGTAAGAGCCTCACACTACGTTGTTTGTTTGAATTGTATTTCAGGGCAGTCCGTGAAGACCGATAGATCCAGATGATTCCAGATCCAGCCTCCACAACAGACTTCTCACTCACAAGGATTGCTGTCTACTAGATATTATGTGTACTCTTCAGACTTAGGTGCATGCAGATATTGTTGAGGGACATGAACACCTGAATACTGCAAAAATAGAGAAAGTACCTTATTTAAGAATTTTGTGTTAATTGCGTAAACATTAAAAAATATATATATTTTTACTGTTTTTTGTTTTGTTTTCCAAAGCACCTAAAAACCAAATCACCCTGCCATACTACAACAGGGTGAACACACTGCTCAAGCAAAACAAATAAGCATGTTAGGTGTGAGATTCATTCAACTTGGTTTGCTGATTAAACATGATTAAATATTTTTTCAGAATACTGTCGTTGTTGTGACTATTCATCTGGGAGGTGTGTGTATCATTAGGCTTGGTTATGGTTTTGTTGAGGCTGACATGTGGAGACCATCTGTTGCAGCATATAGGACCAGAATAGGGCCAGCTATGGTCATACAGGTGGCTGAGATAGGGATCTGTCATGGCCCATTTATGTCCCATTTGTGGCCCATATTTTGGCTGCCAGGTTTAGTTCACCTGTGGATCATGCTCAGGTGTGGCTCAGTTTTGGGCTTTGTGGTTACAGATTGTGTTTTGGTTCCAATGTTACATTTTGATCTGGCCCAATTCAGGGTCAGTTATGGGTAATTAACTTGGCTGAGACTTGGGCCAGTTATGGCCCATATGTGACCCTTGTCTGGAATCCAATTCCAGTCTAGGACTGTAATTCATTGCGGTATGTGGGCCAAGCAAAAGCTGGTTGTGTGGGCCGGAGCTGGGCCAGAGAAAAATTGCTATGTGGGGTTATGTTATTAACTTTACGGTAGTCAGTGCAAAAACAATTTGACGAGTCAGATTTAGGAACAAGCAAGCATGGTGAACTGCAGGGGCTATGGCTGGGTGTAGCAAATCCATGTTGCAACAAATATTTAACCTCTGACTTCCTTACTTCTCGTTTATGCGGATTGACATGGTAAGGATGCTGTTTAATAGATACAGAGTCACCTACATCAATGTCGTGTGTGAGGATGGTAGTTTGGCGAGGAACATCAGAGAACAAGGTGGGATACTCGCTTATTAACTCAACTATATTTGTATGTTGGTTCTTAGGCAAGTGAGCAAGATACGAGTCTAAGTTACTCAGTACTCACTTACAGGACATTTGGTCTTTATTTTTGACCAGATTATCTTCCAAAAGACAATATGAGTAGGCAGTACTGTAGTAGTAACTGCAGACACAACATCAGAGACAGGGGTTTCTTTTGCGGCTTTGTTCATGACATAAGCCGTCAACATATTCACATGACACACTCGACTTTTTCTCCTACGATCTGGAGTTGAGATTACATAATCAGTGTCAGTAAGCCTTTTCCCAACAGCATAAGGACCAGTGAATTTAAAACCAAATCGCCATGTTGGAAGCTGCGTTTTACACATGTCTTGTCATTACGCAATTTCATCTTGGATTGTGCAGTTACCAGATGAGATTTTGTTACATCACAAGCCTTATAGAGACGTTCATGGAAAGCACATACATATTCCAACATGTTACTAGACACCGGACCTACCTTTTGACAATAACGGCACACTTAGCAGTTTCAAGGACCTACGGACAGTGTGCCCAAAAACAAGTTCAGCAGGGCTGAAACCCAATGATTCCTGCACAGTCTCTCTAACTGCGAACATTAGTAGTGGTAAACCCTCAACCCAGTCTCTACCAGTACTTAATATGCACGTAGCATCGACTTTAGGGTTTGGTGAAAGTGGTCCAGCGCACCCTGGGACTCTGGATGGTATGTGCTGGATAGTTGATGATCAACTCCTATCTCTTTTACCACTTGAGCGAACAATTTGGAAGTGAAGTTAGTACCTCGATCGGTTTGGATAACTTTGGGCAAACGTTGAGCAGAACTTAACTATCTCCTTCACTACCGCCTGGGCTTTAAGAGTACGGAGCGGAACAGCTTCTGGGAACTGAGATGCAGCACACATCAGAGTCAAAACATATTGGTGTCCCCATTTCGATTTTGGTAGCGGCCCAACACAATCCAAAATCAAACGTTCAAATGGCTCTCCCACCACTGGAATTAGATGGAGGGGAGCAGAAGGTATGATTTGATTTGGCTTACATGGCAAACATGGCAGCTCTTGCAGAATTTGGAAACACTAGACTTCAATCCAGGCCAAAAGAATTATCGGGAAATGCGCTTGTAAGTGTTGTTAACCCCAAGATGGACAGAGAGAGGATGCTCGTGGTCAAGCTGCAATACCTGAGAACGATAATCAGAGGACAAAACAATTTGATAGTCAGCTAAAGCATCATCAACATCATGTGGCTTCCAACGACACATTAGGACATCATCTTCCCAAATAAAAGCTATTCTAGCACTGCTCGAATTAAGTAACTGAACAGCAGCTTCAACACAGGGTGCTAGAGATTGATCAGATCTTTGAGCAGCAATTAAGTGTTCTCTGTCAAATTTCAGAGCTGCTGCTTTTAAGTCTGAGTTCACAGAATCATTAGGAGCTAACTGAGGTTTAATAGCAAGAGTACACTCCAAAGTACACTCCTCTATCACCTTCATTGGCTTCCGGTTTCCTTGCGCATAAACTACAAGATACTTATTCTCACTTATAAAGCTCTCCATAACCTTGGTCCTACATATTTATCTGACTTACTCCTGCCTTATGTTCCTGCCCACTCCCTTACGATCTTCTAGTGAGGGATTGTTAGTCACCTCTAAGTTTCGTCTGGTGACTATGGGAGCTAGGGCTTTCAGTGTTGTGGCTCCCAGATTGTGGAATGCTCTTCCCCAAAACATCCATCAAGCATCCTCCTTTCTCTCCTTCAAAAACCTCTTAAAAACACATTTTGTCTCTGAGTATTACTCTTCAGTTCTTAGTCTGTAATTTGTAACCTGTTATGGATGTTTATCTACATTCTCGCTGTATCTTTAATCTAACTTTGTAGGTGGTCTCTGTATATTACTCTCAGCTCTTGGTTTGTGTTCTTCTGGTATTGATAGTTATTTGTTTCTGTTGACTTGTAAAGTGATCTTGGGTGTTGGAAAGGTGCTATATAAATACAAATTATTATTATTATTATTAAAGAATCTTTTGCTGGATTCAGGAATGAGTCAGCAAGACATTGTGCACGGGTTACTGAGCAAGCAGGAACTGCAGAGGAGAAACAAGCAGCGATATCAGAGTTAGGAGATAAATCTGGCGTATCTACCACAACTAGAGAGGGAAAGACCTTACCACCTGCCAAGTCATTCCCCAGGATGAGGCTTACACCATCCACAGGCAGCTCAGTTCGCACCCCAAGAGGAACCATACCCGTAATCAGATCAGACTTTAGATTAATCACATGCACTGGCACCCTCACACATTCTAACTCTATTCCACGGACCAAAACATCAGTACCAGAGTCCGTTTTGGCCGAGAATGGCAAGGCGTTGCTCCTGTGTCCCTCAGAATTGAGATAGACTTACCCAGAGAGTCAGCACAAAGGGAAACAGAACCAGCAAAATGACTTAAGATATTTAGTCTTGTTTCCAAGGGGAAAAAACTAAATTAAGCGCAATTTGCTTAAAACAAGTAAAATTATCTGCCAGTGGGGTAAGTAAAATATTCTTAAAACAAGAGTATTTTACTTACCCCACTGGCAGATAATTTTACTTGTTTTAAGCTAAATGTGCTTAATTTAGGGGGTTTTTTTCCCCTGGAAACAAGACTAAATATCTTAAGTCATTTGGATTATGTAGTAAAAGTATCTTGATTTAAGAATTTTTAGATATTTTGACTAGAAACAAGACAAAAATACTAAGTAAGATAAGCCATTTTTTGCAGTGTAAAGAGAAAGGGTTCATACCCAGTACTCTTAGCTGGCACGGAACAGTTTTTAGGGACTCAGACAGCCTGAGCAAAAGCTACACTCTTAGATTTCCCAGCAGTATTTTTTCCACACCTTGCAATCAGAAATGACGTGGCCTGGATCCAAACAGTAGAAACAAACACATTTGGTAGTGGTGCGTTTTGCATCAGCCTTACAACCCTTATCTACTATTTCCATTGGAACACTGGAAGTTTCCTTCTCTGCTTGCTCAGTATTGAAAAATTTACGTTTGGACTGACGTGAAGATTGGAATACTGTCTTATGGGTGAGCACAAACTCGTTTGCTATCACAGCAGCTTCAGAGAGTGTGTTTACCTTTTGTTCATTCAAATGAACAACTACAGGTTCAGGAGCACAATTTTTAAACTCTTCCAATAAGATAAGCTCCTGCAACTGCTCTAAACTGGTGACCTTGTTTGAGAGGCACCACTTCTCAAAGAGTGCTTTTTTCTTTCGCGCAAACTCTACATATGTTTAGTTGGCTGTTTTCATTAAGTTTCGAAAGCGCTGGAGGTAGGCTTCAGGAACCAATTCATACGCTCTCAATACTGCTGCTTTGACAACCTCATAATCAAGAGACTGCTCAATCGGAAGTGAAGAACAGACCTCCTGTGCCTTACCTACAAAATTACAGTGGAAGAGGAGCCCCCACATATCCTTCGGCCAACCCAATTTAGCAGCAATGCGCTCAAAAATAGTTAAGTAACAATCTACCTCAGCTTCGCTAAAAGGCGGTACTAATTTTACGCACTTCACAACATCAAAGTTCGGCTGGGTATTGCTTAGCGGGTCATAGTTAACGATGCTGGATTGTGACTGTACACCCTCAAACGTTGGTGAGGAGGGAGCTATCAAGCGTGGGAGTGGAACAGGAGGCTTCCTGCGCAAAGCCTCAGCTTCTAATACAAGCGTTTTAAGCTTAATATCCCGATGCGCCTGGACAGTACGGAGTTGTACTACTTTAATGTCAGGTTCTTTTCTTTTTAGCTCCAAGACAAGCTCTTTCACCGGATTTAATCAAGACTATAAATACACCATTTCTAATAAGTAGAGTAAATGAATGGTCAGTTCTTATACGGGACGTCCCATACAGCTCATGCAAAACCATTTTACTGCAGTGTTTTTGAGATATGGGACATTATTACACTTTAGAGGGCTATGATGACCCCATTTCTAATAAGTAGAAAAAGTTAATGGTTAGTTCTTATACAGGACGTCCCATGCTATATGCACACCTCATTTTAAACCATTTTACTGCAGCGTTTTTGAGATATGGGACATTACTCTATTTCAGAGGCCTATAAAGACCCATTTCTAATTAGTAAAAACCCAATAGACCAATTTTGGAGTAGACGTCACAGTTACATCACTTGCAGCTGCGCGCGCATAGTGGTGGCAGAAAAACACTGGGAACAAGTGGAGGGAAACGGGTAAAATCCATGGAATAAGAGAAAAAATTTATTGTTGTGCATTTGGATGTCTGAATCGGAATGCAAATAATTTTTATATAATAACATTGCATTAATGACATCAATTTTGAAATATAAACTCAAAATTGTATTTTTTATTATGTTATTCCATGGGTTGAATAGACTGCTACGTTAAAACTGTCATTTTCTGCCACCAGATAGGCTCCACCCACAAAAATGTCATGACTGAAATTGCTCTATAGTCAGCTCTTATATGGGACGTCCCTTTCTATATGCAGAACTCCTATAAAACCATTTTTGTTGCTGCCGCGTGTTTTGAGTTTGAGTCAAGTTAATTCTTTATCGTCTATTTTTTAATCTTAAAATCAATTTTATACCCCATTATTTTCGTTTCTATAACGTGTGAATATATCCCCTATCGTATTCTACAACAAAAACAATCAGAGCGCCTTGTTATCATTAGTTTTATTTTGATTTCCCGAGTCCGCTATTAGCTTATAGCCCGTTAGCATCGCCAGCGTGGTTGCCGCTAATCTCGCTTACATTGCTAATACTCTATCCACACACAATACCATTGTTTTACTCACTGTTGCTTGTTTTAATGGTGGATGTGTCTCTACCTTTGAGTGTAAGTGAGGACACATTCAAGCTGCATTTGGTGCAGCTCGAGCTGGAGGCCATGGACTTTTTGCTTTAAATTAATGGTTATTGTCATGGTGTAAAGAACAGAAACTGCTCTTTAGTCAAAATGCAGCATAGCCATAATTGGAATCTTTTCTGGGAGCGTCCTAGGCTTTTTCACGCTGATGGCCTGCACCCCAGCAGAGTCGGAGTGGATCTCCTGTCGTACAACATCTCCAGGATGCTACACTCCATATGACTAGTAAGCCAATTCTCAAATAACTGCTGTTATGGCTTTTGTTCTACCTGCTTAAATGATAGAAGTACTTGCGCTGTCCA